TACAGTACCGCATGAAACAGGAAAATCACAAAAAGTCAACCACCGCTCATACAACACCAAAACATAAATACGACCCCCCCCATCTCCTAACAATGACCAAGTACGACCCCTCTCCCCCTATTGGAATTGGGGATTCCACAACCGATGTGCCCTGCTCCAAGCATGGTGGGGTATATATGGCACAACTGAGAAAAGGAGAAAAGAGAAAAGCGGGGAGAAGTCGAGAATCGAAAACATTTTTTCTCGCTGGAAGATAGGAGCTCTTTCAACCAGCGACCTAATACGGTGCTCCTGTGCTCCTCAACAAGGTTTCCTAATGTAAGAAATGCCCTGATTCACGTCATAGCGGAAGCGGCCAAAGCTGTGTTGATGTCATCACCTGAACGGCATTCACCATGACCTATTTGTTTTAGCGTGGAAGTACTGCAATAGGTCGAGTTAAGTGGCGAAATAAACGATGAATTATTCAATTGTTGATCAATCCCTTTTTGGGATACGCCACGCATTCCACTTCCAATCAGGGTCGTAGCCTGTAACATGACTTGGGGATGTCAACCGGTGTCAGGTCACTTTCCCTATCCTCCTAGACGAATCTGTTTCCAATTTGCCGTCCCTGGAGGATAGAAGGTTTGACTGAATCGGGAGCCGGTCTGAGAACTGGCACCTGCACCGCGTACGTGCCACCCACTGTTACACCGCCTGCACCCTAAATAGCTAAAAATATTTTGGAAAAAAACTCAGTTTATCTGCTCTGCGGCACCGTACCACTCCCCTAATCACCTTGCTGAAAGAGGTACATATACTCTAATAGCGCTATAAAATGGGGTTATTAATCAGCGTGTAAGGAAGTTGAATAGGCTAATGATTACTGTAATAAATAATCCACCATGGCAAGTTTTCCATGAATGTGCTCTAGGGACTAATAACAATCTCAATAACGATAAGAGACCCATTCTTGGGAATGCAGTCGGGGGAACTGATTAAAGGTGGTAAATGGGTGGGTTACAGATGTATAATAATTGAATTAGGTGGTATTTCCACCCTTATTAACTGAATATCTGGTGCCAATCAAATCGGAACCTAGAAACGCTGTGAAAGAAAAGTGTAAGAGGATTGGTTGTTTCCCTGGGCGGAGTCAACCAGCATGCCGATGAGACACGGCTATGAAACCTACTCCGCTGCTCCACCTTGCAGAACAGCACTTATAAGCAGTGCTTTTTCCTTAAATGAGTTTCGGCAAAAATGGGAGTTGCCTGCCAGTTACTGGGCTGTCACACTCACCAACATGCGTTTAACTTATCCCCTTGCAAAATTTGCGGTTTCAAAAACTCTACTTATAGAGAAGCTCTGGTTTACTGGGGTCAGAGCGGCCCAGGAAATATGACTCATTCCCTGAGCTTGCTCTGTCCGATGATGTACTGCGGTGACTCGTGGACGTGGGAATCAGGATATGTCCTACAGTTGGAGGGAAGATCCTGCAAAACACGACCCTACTCCAGAAACTGCGCCCCGATCGGCCACCGACCACACAAGACCCCCGTCTCCAGCGTACGAGTCCCGACGACAATCTATGAGCAGCTTCGCAGGCTGGCAGGCCTTACTGATTATCTTAAAATAACTACCGAATCACGTAAGGTACTTGCTCGCAACGCGTTTTGATTACAAGGGAGGCAGTCTTTGAGCGATTACACTGCTGCTGGCGTGCTGTGACAAGCCCTGCGACGTGTCTTCTATGTCGGAAAACTCGTCCGGATCACTGAACTTGAGGGTGTTTCCATAACTGACGGCAAGCAAACCGTCAATGTCATCTGCAAATGCATCTACATGATGGTTTTCATGCTTGCAATGAATGACAGTGGGCTTTAATTATAGCACACTCCTGAACCTGGCGCCGCGCTCTGGCGGGACGGCGTCAGGAGGCGGTGGGGTGAGCCCATCGCCAGCGTTTTCTGCTAGTTTTCATCCTGAACCGGCTACTACTGGTCCAGAAAACGCAGCCGCGGGCGGATCACTCTACGCCTCCCGACGCCAACTGGCTGGATCAAGTAGTAAAGGCCTACGGCGCTAGATAACCGACATGTTTGGGCACCAGGGCATACGTTGGGGATCTGTTTCAGTTCCTGACTTTTCTTGGCGTTTTCCTGTTTCAAAAGCGTTGCCCACTCGACAGAAGTAGTAGAATTTTTGAAAAAAAAACTCTGGAAGGTGGTAGAAAGTTGAAAAATAACGAGCAGATTAGCTTGGGGGATGGGTAGAGGGGTCGCAGTTTGCAGAATTCTTCCTCAGTGGCATGACATGCCCTACATGGTTACCGTTGCCTAATCTCGAACCTTATAGTTCCCTTCGTAGAGCTGTAGAAATTCCACTCTGTTCAACATCGCATCTTCGCCATAGCGGAGCCTTAGGTGATTTAGAAGGTTGTGTATGAATCACGTATCCATAGATGGAGAATGAAATATCTGGCTTTTTGCTGTGTTGTACGCGGAACGGAAAGTTCATTGTCCTCAATCGTCTGTCAAGAGTCGACGGATTAACGAAATCGTATGACCTATCTGAACGTGCACATTGAATTCAAATGGGCCTCGGAAAAAAAGACAATTTCCCGAGGTTCACTTAGCCTACACGGATTTTGAGATGTTGAGTAAAGAAAAGGGGAAATGCTGGACTCAGTATAGCCGCCAGCGAATCGCTTCACTCTACTTTCTGTAAACTTGGACGATAGCGATAGCTCAACAAGGCAAACCGAGGTTGGGGGGGGGGAGGCTCGGAGAAGACGCTCCGATACATGAATAGGTAGGAAAGAGGTAGCTCCAGGTAGTTACAGCCAGGGCGGTCAGAGTGGTTGGCGGGGGAGGCCCTTTCTTCCAGTTCACCAGTTTCTTTTACCAGTCTTGTTCACTTACACCTATCACCCTTGTGAGACCTGGACACTTGGTCTGGTGTAGCAAGCTTCGGGTTTTTACGAGATTTTACAGATTCTCCGTTAGAGCGGCCATCGATGTGCATCCTGGAACGAAACGAAAGCCTCCCACGAGCGGAACTGCGCTGGCGGGTGTACGTGTGTGGGTGCGGGCCTGAGATCAGAAAGAGCTGAAAGATTGTTCTCATGCCCTGATTACGACCTCCCCATCACCGACGACCAAATGAGAGTTAGAGCAGCTTCCACCTGAAGCCTACCAACCATAATGTGCGCTTGTAACAGTACATAGTTTGAGGGGAAGGGGTCGATTGCTAGATTACTCAAAAGTTCCATTGGCATCCAGGCGTCTGTCCCTATGATGGCTCTTGACTGTCAGACGACTTCCTTGAACCTGGTGCCACCTTCATAAATTCCTCTCCCTGCCCCTCCGTTTCCAGAGGAAGCTTGTCTACCGAGGATCTCGCTTCTTTTCAAAAACCATTCTTGCAAACTAAGAGAATTTAACCGTTCAAATTGTGCTGCAAGCCCATTATTTGAAAAAAAGCCTCATCATGAAAATTGCGTTATTAACGCGTAAAATTTCATTGGCATTTGCAGGTTTTCACAGTTTTATAATTCCAGCTCATGTAGGATATGCAGAACTAGGGTATCCGGGCTTTCACCCCCCCCCCCTTCAAAGTCCGTCAAGTTTCAAACCCAATTCGATACCCTTCTTAGTATCTGAATTTCTTTCTGTCCATAAATGAAACAGGGCATATCTACTGCTCCAAAGAAGCTTCTTCGTCCTCTGAGAACATCATTCTTTTATGACAGGTCAGATCTTTCCGAGACTTCCTCCAGTCAACACTCTTTGCTCAAGTTTGAATAGGCTGCAGTACCACACGCGTCTGAAGTATTTTAGGATGTGGGTTACGCCATGACCGTGACGCTTCTTCAAAGAGCCGGGGTGAGCGTTTGACTGACGCATCATGATTACAGATGACAGCACTACAGGAGTGCAGGACAAGCATATAGTCGTAGAAATAACGCGGGAAAGATAGCGTGGAATGAACGTCACTAATTGAGGGTTATGGACTTGAGTTGGTAATCCGTATGCTCTTCCTTTTGAGCCTTATTGACTACTGTTGATGTGTTGGTGTATACACCAAGTTCAGTTCTGTGAGGGAGGGGGGGGGGGACGGGATAGCAGAAATGAAATGCAATACTATTGAGAGTGATTGCGCCTGCCGATTGCCTACAGCTACAAGACGATCTATTAGTCCTGTAGCTCCTGCACCAGCGGCAATTTGCTACGTGGTGTCTTTGTAGGCTATCACCACGTGGAACACCCGGCTAAACGGTGAAACAAAGGGTGAGTCCTGGATTGAGAGACGCGCTCTCTTTTTCCTCTGGGTACCCCGCCATTTCCCCATGCCTCCGATTCTCTTTGAGGTTCTAAGGATTTTTCAATAGTTTCCAAAAAGGGCTACACTTCACCCGAAAAGTGATCGCCTTGATGTGGAGGAGGGGGTCGTCAGACAAAGCATCACACTAAGGTGCAACAGGCCCAGAGATCAATCAGATACGAATCGCTTCCGCGATTAGCCAAATACGGCATAGTTGGCCACAAAAGGCTTGAACGGTTGGGAGAGCGCCCGTGAAAAAGGGAAAAAATCAACTGTCGGGGAAATTTATGGCAGCCGCTCTACGCCTTCGTTGGGAATTCCGAGACCGCACCGTAGATCTAAAAACTTAACGCTCGATGATTTACAGCAGAGTGTGGTGCATATTCGTGGTCCATTGTACGTTTGTACTATGGTAGGTGAGCGCAGTCGTGAAAGCCATTTCCTTCTCCATATAAACAAATAGGAATAGAAATTCAGTGATGTATTTAATAATTTCGAATCAATCAGTAGCCGATTATTTCTTCTGTCTGGTCGGGGAACCACGGCTACTTGCTTTGAGATCAGTTAGTTCTTCGGGTCGTTTCGGAGGATAAGCTGAGCCTGAAAGGATTTCATGTAGCCTACTCAGTTGGAAACTTGTAGGCGAATACGCACAACCTAGGCCCGCCGACAAGGCTTTCGGCTTTGGCAATGGACTATCTCGTAGTGTCGTCGTTCAACGGGAGCAAGGCATGAGGGCATTGGTAGAAGGCCTGAAACGACAAAGAAATTCAGACTTTCAACTCCAAGACTCCGAGGCTTTCTCAAAAGCTAGCTAGTTGTCGTTGTTTAAGTGAAGCCTTTGTAGAAGCTAGGAGCAAGTCTGCCCCCTTAAGTATTGCTGCCAGAGCACAGTCACACCGTCCTATTGGCGGCGACCGGCCACTATTGATATTCTGAACTGTCACACCTCTTCTCGTCCCATAAAAGAAAGGTGCATCCATGAAGGGAAAAAATGCAATGTAGACTGAGCTCCGACCATATGACGGGAATGGTCCCTCAGGACCTACATTACTGCTCAAACTCACTTGCAAATCTTGGCCAGCCTTCTCTTCGATTTCGCATCCCTCTCGATGACATCGATCGCAGCCTAGTTGCTTCCTGTAATTCCCATATCATTTGCAATGAATCATAATCAGTATGACTACTCCAATGCATCGTCAACTCCAGAGCGTGTTTATACTTCGCGATACAATCGGTTGAACCGCGCGATCGATCGCTCGAGCGTTAAGATCGCGCGACAACACCACCAATCGGTGGGATTAGGCAAGGGCTGAAATCTATCCACAGTGCACCCTAGATGAATTTGACCGTTGCGGGCGTCCAACGAATTGCGGTGGAGCGCCCTCGTCGAAGTCGCGCGATCCAGTCACTCTAGCGATCGAATCGCAAACTATGAACGTGCTCTTACCATACGAGCGGAGTCAGCCGAACAACTCTGCCTTCTTCGTTGGTGTCTCCCCAGGACACTAAAGAGGAGGAAGCACCGATGGCCAAGGCGCGAGACCTAACTCCGCCCGTAGGATTAACGAAGACTGTGATTTCAAAAATAGGCCCCACCTACAGGGATCGGCGTTCACCTTCACTTTCATACCATCTTTTATTCGTCCACATCGCGGACATCGGTCCATATCCACAGAAAAGTGATCCATACGATGTATCGTTCGAAACACATGAACCGCCTGAACAGTGCATCGTAAGTATTCCAAACATTACGTTTGCTCTATGGATTTTCCCCTGACACAACGATATTTGACAATTTGTAGGACTGCGAGGAAACTCGAGCCTCACTTAAGAGCGTTCAGACTTCGCGACGACGCGCTGTCACTCGCTGCAATTGCAACAGCGCTCAAGGGTTGTAGATGTGAACGCAGTCGCAGAAAAGGTCGATAGCTTCTGCCCGCTCAAGTATTGAGAGTATGGAGTTGCTCAATCACTCCCGCCTGTTATCGATCCATTCTGGCCAACGGGGCGGTGCCGGTCGATTCCCGTGTGCT